GGACTTTTATCAAGTAATTAAAATCAGACAAGACAGCATGAGTATGTATGAGTGTGTGTGTGTGTGTGTGTGTGTGTGTGTGAGGGGAGGCAGGCAGATGGTGCTTGTGATGTGACTGTAGCTGCACCATTCGTGGGTCAGAAATAAAAAGTGTCAGAGGGAGGGGGGAGTTGTTTTGTAATGAGGGCAGCCTAATCTCCATCCACTGTAGATAAATTCCCATAAGGCTTCACCTCCAAATATTGACTCAGTCCCAGATACACGAGGGAACTGGGGCTTTATTGCTGATAAAAATAGAGGATAGGGACTGGATATAACCAGTTTAGTTTGGGCCTGAGCCCGTGAACCCATCGTGCCATGTGTGTATGTCTGTGCAGAAGGGGGGGGGGGGTCGCTCTCTACAGTGAGATAAACGTGACAGATCGGTGACACCCAGGTAGAATTAGCTTTGCAGCTCAGCACGGGGGGATAAAGGTCGAGCCAAAAGCAGGTCTGTGACCCCTGAAGAATCTGGGTGGGGGATGTCACAGTTATTTCAGATGTGGTTGGTGATCACAACATGGCCGTGTAAATACACTGTACACACTGGCACACCTGTTGTAGTAGTTTAAAGATCATCTGTTACTATGTGAATATGTTCAGTATTAAACACTGGTTAAAAGATTGTTTGAAAAACCTAAAAAGATTTAATTATTTATATAATATAAATTGAATTAGTATGTGTTTTATGTGTATTATTATTACACATGATATTATTAATGGTTGTAATTAAAAGTAAAGAATTTGGTCACAATAAACTTCTAGATGAAACACGACATTTACAGACATCAGCTTGTCTTCTGGGCTATTTTTACAGACCTTTGTAATTGTTTTCTGATGATCTGTAGATCAAACAATAATCAATTAATCCAGAAAACCATTGACAGATTGATCAGTGATTAAAATGATCATCACAATATCCCAATAACATGATCACCCTTACAGAATAATGATGCAGTACAATCATAATAAAGTATAAAGTATATCTATAACATGATAACTCTTCTCCCAAACAATGTGAACACAAAATCAAGACGGCAGGTTTATAGTAATAGATTACATTAGACTGTAGTTACTCTGTTATTCTGTGTGCAATCTGTAAATGAAAGTAATCAGAATATCGATCATATGAATGGATTATAGAAATGAACAGAGGCTCGTTGGAACAGAGCAGTGTTTCTATGTGGTGTAATTAGCTTTGTTGGGACAGTGGCGCCCCCTCGAGGTCCACACGGCTCTGTGCACGTCGATCGGCTGATAGGTGATCCATTAACTCTCCTCGCAGTCAATGATTATCGATTATCGGTCCAAAGTTCAACATACAAACACCATCCAATGGACGCGGTTACAAGAGGAGCATCATGTCTTTGAAAACGTTTTCCTGCAGAGTTTTGTGCAAACTTTTGAGCCCCGGTGTCGCCTCGTGCACACCGATCAGTGCACGAGAGGTAGCACGGGGCTCCGCGCGGGGCTACTACAACACCGGGAAACCCAGGTACCCCGGGCCGGGCGGGGCGGCTCACTCCCGGGTGGTGGACCTCCGCAGCGACACGGTGACCAAGCCCGGGCCGGCGATGAGGCAGGCCATGGCGGAGGCCGAGGTCGGAGACGACGTGATGGGAGAAGACCCGAGTGTTAACGGTGAGAGCCGAAGAGTGACAGCAAATAACTGATTTATTTATTTATTTTTATTATATATTCTATATTTTTTGTTAACTTAGTTTATAAATCAAATATATGATTTTATTCTTTGCCAGTTTGTGATGCTTTTGTTCTTAGAAAATGTGTGTTTCTGCATATTGTTTACTAAATGGTACATAATTAGTTATAATTAATTACTCCTTAATTACTGTACATAACATTTACATATTAGTTATTAATATCTTTGTTTCCCCTCGATTAAAAGTCCAGTACATAACGTTTACATAGCCTATTAGTTAATATCTTTTTTTTCAGTGTGAACATCACAAATCACTTGTAATTTAATCTTTTTCCATACTTATTTGAGCCACTTTCATATGTCGTCCAAATCAGATACAGGTCAGATTGTTTCTGCAATGTGAACTCAGTGTGAACTGTCAAAATCAGAATTCATTGTCACTGTAGATTGACTTTCTATCCAGGTCACTTCAGCAACGTGACCTGTTCACACTGGAGTCTGACATGAGCCACATTCAAAAATAATGTGAGCAATAAATCAGAACTGAGCAAGAACGTAGCAATAGAGAAGAAGCTGGTTCTCTATAAACTCATCCCTAAATCTCACACTATCCGTCTGCTTTCTGCAGAGTTACAGAGGATTGCAGCTGACATGTTTCAGATGGAGGCCACGCTGTTCGTTCCCTCTGGAACAATGAGTAATCTCATCGCAGGTGAGCTGTGCACTGATTGTCTGAAACCATTTTTACGAGGTCAGAGCGGTCATAAACTCGCCCGCATTTCATCTCTCAGTGATGGTGCACTGCAGGGAGCGTGGCGACGAGATGATCGTGGGCGACCTGTCCCACTTACACATCTACGAGCAAGGAGGGAGCGCACAGGTGAGTGTACCGCCCGACCCTCCGCGACCTCTGACCGCCCACAGGTTCGTTCAGTGTGTGTTTGTGTGTTGACACAGCTGGCCGGTGTCCACGCCACCACAGCCACCACCCTCCCCGATGGAACGTTTGACTTGGAGCAGCTGGAGTCGAAGATCCGCCACGGTTACCCCGACCCCCACTACCCCCGATCTCGCCTCATATCTGTGGAGAACACCCACAACATACAGGGAGGACGGGTGCTACCTCTGACCTTCCTGCAGGGCAGGTTTTGGGTTGTGGTTTTGGTTGTGTTGTGTGTGAGTGTGTGTTTGTGTGTTATTTTTTGCTCTATTACTTACTTTTACGGGGGTATCATCAGGATGAAGGTTTGGGTTTGTGGAGTCATTCTGTGATTTGTTTGTTTTTCTCATCTCCAATGTTCGGTGCTGCTAGGCTCTGATAGATATCTGGTCTTTCAGTGTCATTTATGTGACTTGGGTATGCCTAGGGTTGTGTGTTATTTTTTATTGTATTACTCCGCCGTGTGTCTCGAGGGGTTTCCTCCTTGCCGACGCTTTTTTATGTAGTCTGCAGTGCGACACACACACCGTCAGTGTGTGTCTCTCAAAGGTGGGACTGCAGAGACACACACAGAGTGGACCAGAACATGACATAAATGTGTGTTTTTGTGGTTAAATTCTTATATAAACTTAAAAGTCAAATTCACATTATGGTGT